GTGGGTTTGTATTTGGGGTTTTATTTCTGTAAGCCACCCGGAGTCACTGTGAGTTGGGCGGCTATATAAATTGCTTTAAAAACAAACAAACAAACAAATAAGAAAGAGTAAAATGGATTTTCAAAGCTCTAGATCAGTTTTCCCACACCTCATTTGACTGGTGGAAAGGACAACTAGGCTCTAAAGCTAAAGCTCTGTAGCCTGCTATTGTCCTGCCTGAAAACATTTGGAAAGTTTTAATGTTAGACTGTCAGTAAACCCCCAAAGTTTTTTTTTCTGGGTTCTGACGGCTACACATATTATGAATTGATATGTTTCTATTGCAACATTTCTCAATCTTGACAACTTTAAGATGTGTGGGCTACAATTCTCAGAATTCCCCAGCTAGCATGTCATCCCCAGCCAGCATGCTAATTGAAGTCCACACATCTTAAAGCTGCTGAGGTTGAGAAACACCAGTCTATTACTATACATCCAATGGTGAGTGAAATAAGAGAAGAGAAGGCAAAGTCTGCCGTTTCCATTACTTCATCAATCAACAGAAGGATCAAAAGATCACCTTTCACTCTTCCATGACATGCAGAAAAAAATTCATTTCAGCTGCTTAAGGAACAATTGCAGCTAGTCATAAGCCATCTGTGTCTCTTCTCTGATTCCTTTTCTCCTGAATGTATAAATCAGGTTGCCTGGAGGTTGCGGTCCTGATGAATGGTATCAGTGTGGAACAGGAGCCTGTCACCTGAGACATTTTGCTGCCTTTCAAGCAAGAAAAGCTCTGTTGTGGCATCCACTGTGCAGGGCACTGAGGTCGAATGTCTTGTCCAATGCACCAAAATTGGCAACTGGACTGAAAAACTATTTTATGCTTAATTTTCAGACTGTAATAAGTTATCACTGCCCTGGATATAATTATACAAAAAAGAGAAAATAGTCATAATGGCTTTTTTTTTTTAAATCAATTTTCGTCTATTATACTAGGATGAACTAGTATAAGGCAACTTCTCATGTTCCTGTAATTATGTGTTTTGTTCCTTCGCTGGACAGAAGTGGCACTGCCATGGAAACCCTCCATAATGAACAATCCCCTACAAACTAAAGCAAGGGACAGAAAAAGTAACATGCTGAGTCCAGTACTAGTTCTTCTGTGAATGAGTGGAAGTGGAGACTAGCCCTACAATGAACATGGGGAAAGGAAGATAGTTTCAAGTGGTTTATTGAAAATCCCATTTTAAAAAATGTCCTTGTGAATTCCTTGATTTCTGCTCCACACCTCACTTAGCAAATACCATATAGGATTAAGCAAGAAGGAGATGCCAAGGAGGAGACCGTACAGAATCTTTTCTTCTTATGATTTCAGTGTAAGAGTTTATGGCTTTAAAACTATGACAAGGTACTGCTGGGAAACTGTTGGCACAAGAATGTTTAACTGCTTAAAAAAATTAACTTCATTGTGTCTTTGTATCTCTGCTAGGCACTTGGTTGTCCCTCTTTGAAATAATCAACTAAAGTTGCAATGCTTGTTTATCAACATCCCTCTTCCTTGGGAAGTAAGTGAGATGGTGTCCTTGTTGTCTTTCCAAGATCAAGATTCACTCTAGCAGGAGCCCTGCAGCTCTCCAGTCCTATCACCCACATCTTTCCTTCCACAGAGAATTGACACACCAAAAAATTGGGGATCAAGACTTCTTAGTTCTAACATGTTCTTTGGCAAGTTTAACATGAAAGAAAGTGAATCATAACCTCTCCACTATCTGAGATTCAGAAATTTGTAAGTATGGAAAGAGTCAAGGTTCAACAAAGAAAGAAAAGGCTACTACAGTGAAAAATACTCACTGGAGATAGTGGTTCTCCAGATTTTATCCTTAACCATATTATTTATTGTCTGTTTTGCATCATTAGCAAGCCAAGATGCCATTTAAAAAATGAAAGCATATAACTTTAGGCAAAATGGGGAGATAGACGTTTTCCTTCATTGGAGGCACTTGCCCTCGTAAGACCGCCTGCACTGAAAGACACAGTAAAATATCTTGCCCTAACTGCCCTAGGCAGGCAGAAATCGCTGCATTGACCAAACTGAATAAATTTTCCCTGTGATATTGACCAATCTTTTCCTGGGTAATTCACTAGTGACTGCAACCAGACATAGCAGCTTGATTGCGACTCACACCCCATCCTTTCCCAAGTTGTTCCCTGAACTCCCAAGCAGTTCTTGTTTGACAGAGCTGAAATAGCTAAGAAACTAACAATGAATTAAAGATAGATGTTATCACTTCACCAAAATGTATCTTCTTGAATTACTGGGTTGCTTTGGTAGAGTTTTAGTAGAACCATAGTTTCTTACCAAAGTCTGTCTTAATAACAGTTTGCAGTGACTGCTGATCTTTGTTTTATGGAATAGTCCCATAAGCTCTGATCCAACAATAATAATTTATCTACACTCATCTGCAGGAGGAATAGCTAGAGCAAGCTAAGATATCTTCTTAGGGAATTTCATTTGCTGAGTAGGGTGACAGGTAATGATTGCCTTTTGTGCTGAGAAGTGCATGCATCAGTACAGAACATGAGGGAAGGCTTTCTCAGAGGTTGGAATCACTGACTAGTCTACAAGCTTATAAAAATACAGATAAATCCAAAGGGGTCCCCTGTTCACCTATAAAGGTAAGGCAGCAGCCAAGTTAATGTTCATGCAATACAGAAAAGAGATCCAAACAGAAGGGCAATAGTAGTAGTGCCTTCCATGAGGAAAATATATCCAAAATCTACAGATTGATGATTCTGTATCTAAAGGCATTGATGATATTACCTAGTTGGGCAATGAAACATCTGCAAGCAACCAAGCTCAGAGAGAACCAAGGTCTCCACAGTTCAACCCTGAGCTACATATATTCTCTTCTATTGGATCTACAGGAGTAACACCTTGCCTAGGCCACATGAAGTTTTACAACAGTTGTTTTCAGTTTCTTTGAACTTTTCATCAGACAAGATGATCAAAATAATGAAATTTAAAGATCAGTGACATCCATTTCTAGTTGCTGTAGTTTCTTGATGATTCTTTCTTACAATAAAGCAGTTACAGAACAGCAAAAAGTTACTGAGAGAATAGTAGAGAATTGTTTGATCTTGCTGATCCCAGTAGAACTAGGAAATACATTTTTCTCCTACCAAGAAGGAATTAGTAGCCATAAAAATCCTTAATTAGGATTTGCAAAGCTCCTTGCAAAGTTCCCCAAATCCTCTTATTCAAAATATCCATAGGCATACTTTGTACCTTTCGCATCTTCTAACTATCAGAAAGAAAATATTTTGTCTAAAAGGATAGGTCACTTATCCAGTACTAAAATTCAGCTCACAAGCATGGGTAATTGCCATTTAATTCTCCTGAGTGCTATTTCAGCAAAAGGAGTTTGCAAACATAATTTGTATAGCTTGGTTTGATGGCTCAGCTTTGATACATTTGTCCCTTTAAACTTCTCAGTTGATTCTATGGCAGGAACTCAGGAGACCTGAGCACCAATACCATATTTCGACTAGACAGTTTCTAAGCAAGGACTGCATGCAGTTCTTTTCAATACTGATAAAAAGAGGATTATATTTGTTCCCATTATGGTAAAAAATGTAAATTTTCTTTCAAGTCAAGCTTGACTCCTGGTGACTATATGGACATCCCATGCTGTTTTCTTGGCAACAATGCAGAAGTGGTTTGCCATCAACATCTGGAATTCTTCTGTTTTACTTCCCAATCTAGCCTAGAGCCCTGGGATTTCCTAGTGGTTTCCCACCTCCAGTATTTACCAGTTCCAATCTTGACAAGTTTTTGTGTGATAGGGCAAGATGTGGTATGTATTGCCCCCTGTTAAGTCAGCTGAAATTCTTTAGATTTTCACTCCCAAACCTGTGCACCAAACTTAAGAGCACCTCTATACTAGAAGTACTGCCCATGCAATTTCTTCTCCAGTTATATTTATACTGACGTTTAAAACTATTTTTTGTCATCTGTGTTTTGAGAGCAGATTATGTATCACAAGAGTTTAGAACAATTCAACAGTTAAGCGAATTAATTCTGCAATTGCAGATTTTAAATAGTTTCACTTGAATTTAATCAGTATTCAGTACTAAGGATATTGGTATAAGAATTATGCCAGTTTTTTAAAAAATAAAGCACTATGTAACATGTTCACCCATGTTGATAACTGGCTGGAAATAATGCCCTCAAAGGGTCAGAAAATTAAAAAGGCAAACTTTCCTCTACCACTGACTGTGTGTAACTGTAATATTGTTTTCCCAGAACAATACTCCAACTTCTCATGAAGTAAAGTATAATCTCTGAAAGTCTATAGAATAATTTAGTCCTTAAAGTGCTCCAAGACTCAGTTGTGTTTTCCAGTGTTGCAGTGTCAGCTGTTTTTGTTACACCCATTTTTCCCTGGAAATAGTCATCAGAGTAACCTTAAGTAACCCTTGCCAATTGGGAAATATAGGATGAATAGTTATCTAACCAGAGTTGGGTATAAAGACAAGTGAATACAGTTCAGAGTGAGAACAATATTTTCTAAACATGTAAAAAGTATAGTCATTAAAGTACTTTTAGATGGAAAAATGTTTAAGCTTAGCCTAACTTTTGTTCTGTGCCATTGAGGATGGGAGAAGATCTCTACCATCTGTAATATGACTTGTATAATTTAGCTGGAACAAGAAACATATTTAATGTTTTCTCAAAACACTGAATGGATATATGATCTTTGCTAAATGATGTATTTTTATTTTTCTTGAGAAAAAAGTAAAGCGCCAAAGCCCCAGGACCAAATATCTATGTACACATATCTATCTATACAGTAGGTATACATACACTCTTAACATTAGTTAGTTGTCCCATGAAACTGGATTCTAGGACCCAGTCTTCCTACCAATGATAAAGCCAGCATGATGTAGAATTGAACAATGTAACAACCATTTCTCTCATTTTTCTAAATTTTACTAAAGTCACTACTGTTTCGTCTTACCTTGTCACTGAGGCATTCTGACTCTTCTGTCAGAAGGTAAACATTCCCACTTTCGGCCATAAGGATAGCAGTGTCTGTAGTAGATGAAGATCTTGGCCGGCCTTGATGTTGATGCAGGATTGCTGTCAGGCTGCTATCCTGGGGGGCCCTGCGCACAAGGTGTGGACTGCTTTTCTGTGGTTCTAAAGAGCTACTCTTGGCTCGGCGACTGCCACTGTGCAAACTGGTTCCTCTCTTGATGGAAGGACGGGAGCGAATCTGCTGTAACACCCTGTTGAAGGCAGTGGGTCGAGCTGGGAGGTCATGGAGAGACACAGCATAGGAGACACGGTGCATCTCTGGAGAGCGTTCTTTTTCATCAGGGGAATCATGATCAGACATGCCATGGTGTTGCTGGGATGACTCCTGGGAATTCTGATGCTCCCGTTCTCGGGATCGTCTGCGACTATGGAAAAGATGTTTGAGTCCATGGCCAAACATAGAACCCTCTGACAGTTGTTGTATCTTCTGTACAAGGAAAGGAGACAAAATATTTGAAAGACAGTTATAGCAGGGGCTACACAGGATTTGTTGCAAAACACAGATGATATATAACAAGTATAAAAAAAAACAACCCTACCCCACCCCACCCCAAATCACAATTTTGCAATCGTGTAAAAAAATCGTGACCAACTGGTGTCATTCTTCTGAAGTTTGGATTTCATCCATACAAATTACATATCATGACCAAGAAGCTGGACCTTATGCCACCTCATCACACTAATGAATGCCTGAGCTGCCCAATCTGTAATATAGTATGTGATACACTGTTCTCCCTTCCAAAGGCAGCCATGCTCAGCTGTTGTAGAAAGCTAGGGAAATAACCATGGAGAAGGAATCTGGAGATTAGTCGGAAAACCTCAAGTGCAGAAAAAAATATGTATTAAGTCCAGAGAGGTAAGAGAGGATTACAAAGAGACTCTGGCTAGCCCCTCACCTGACTCTCTCAGATATCAGAGGGAGGGAAGGAAGACATGGACAGACTTGCAAGATTCTGTTATTACAGCCCACTGTTTCTCAACCCCAGCAACTTTCAGATGTGTGGACTTCAACGCCCAGAATTCCCCAGCCAGCATGGGGGCTGGGAATTCTGGGTGTTGAAGTCCACACATCTGAATGTGTGGACTTCAACACCCAGAATTCCCAGCCCCCATGCTGGCTGGGGAATTCTGGGCGGTGAAGTCCACACATCTGAATGTGTGGACTTCAACGCCCAGAATTCCCCAGCCAGCATGGTGGCTGGGAATTCTGGGTGTTGAAGTCCACACATCTGAAAGTTGCTAAGGTTGAGAAACATTGTTATAGCCTATATGAATAAAGTCTAGTTCTACTTTTCCTGCGTAGCCTGTTTCCTAGTACAGTCTACCTTGAAGGATGGACATCGGCAACAGTCAGGGCACTTGTGCAGAGGAGGCAGAAGTAGAGATTATTGAGGCAGGCCTTGATGGAAAGACGGAAGATCCACTACCAAGGCAGCAATCAGGCAAACCTGGCTTGAGCCCATACCAAGAAAGAGGTTTATGAAAATGCCTCAGACAGCCCTCCTCCTTCACATGAAGGCAAAAGAAAGAGGTGGGGAAGCACATTTGGACTTGCAAGATTCCGTCACTACAGCCAGTCTAATAACTGTAATTTTAGGCCCACACAATGTCTGTTGCCTAGCCTACCTTATAGGGCTGACAGTAGCAAAACTCTGAGGAGGGCAAAGATGAATACTTGGGGGTGAAGAGGCAAGAGGAGGTGAAAATCATATGACTAGAAGAGCTGCAATTAATACAGTACACTTCAGCATCATAGGGACATATTGTCATAATATAGCTTACCTACCTACTCATCATGCTATTTCTTTTTGGGATAAGCAAGGTTATGTAAAGCACAGAAATGAAATAATGAGCCAAATAAATTAGATACAAAAGAAGAAAAGAAAATATGACTCAAACTAATTTATACCAGCACCATTCACTATTCTTCTCCATACCTATCCTTGCAAATCATCCTGCTTCCCCTATATTTACATATCGATACACTGTCATTTGTTCTTTCAGATTGGTATACCGTTCCTTCTAAAAATACATTTCCTATGTTGTGGCAAAATGCCAAATCATGAAAGTTATTCATCACTGTTATGTATCACTTGAAGGGAATATTCATGGTTGGATATTCTAAATATCAAGGCAGCTCACAGAATCCACAGTCTAAAGTGTAACTTGAGTGGCAGCAGTATTGTAGTCACTTTTGCTTCGCAACTGTTAAATCTTAACAATATTTCCAAATGCAATATGTCTTCCTGCCCTTTTTAATACGATTTAATTAAGGAGGGGGCTCCAAAGCCTGATCGGTCACTTACATATATTAACTCTATTTTCGTCTCTTTATTGGTCTCCATTGGCACAGGCTGTTGCCAAAGCCACAGTTTCAAAAGCTGAAGGGAGAAGTTACTCTAAAGAAGAGCAGCGTACAGTGCTGCTTTGCCAAACCACAAGGCCAGCTGAGGTTACAGATATTTGAAGGTAAGCTTAACAGAGATACATCATATAAATAAAAAGACCAAAAAGGGGGGGGGGAGATCCTATTCATAAATGAAGGACAAGGAGATTATGGCTTACTGGAGAAACAGACTTTGCTTTTTTCAGAGATATAGGAATTTTAAGCCAGTTTGGTGCAGCGGTTAAGTGCTGGATTAGAGTGGGGAAATCCAAGTTCTAGTCCTCCCTTAGACATGGAAGCCAGCTGGGTGACTTTGGGTCAATCACTATTTCTCAGCCCTAGACTGGAAAGTTAAAAAACATTCTCAAAGAAGGCAATGGCAAACTACTTTTGCAATGTTGCCCAGAAAACTGCATAGGCCTGTCCATGAGTTGCTAGCAATCAAGGCTGACTCAAAGGCACCACACACACACACGTGCACACACACAAACCCTTGGTTATGGCTGATTGGGTTTTTTGCACCACTTGTGTGATCCATTGAAATCTCAGATACTTACAACATAGGAATTGGATGTTTGATACTCATACCTATACTATATATATCAAATTACATTCTGGAAAAAAGTGCAGATAGAATTTGCTTCAAGATCCTTAGATAATTATTTTGAGGACTGACTAAAAGCTGGAAGCCAAAAGAAAGATATTAATCCTACCACACTTTATGATATAAATAAAGATTAGCAATCTTTTGGATTGGGATGTACCTTTGGGAATATGGTACAGTGAGCTGTAGTTCATGAAAGTTTATGCCTGTTAACAAAAAATGCTAGTCTGAAAAGGTATTACCAGACTGCTGTGATTTTCCCAAAGCCCATATTGTTGGGAAGAAAATTATTTTTACCCTTGTCCCCCTTCCGAATGATCTCATTCCATATGGCCTTTTCTATGCTACTATTATTAGTGGGAAATACCTATGGCCTTACTACTGGGTAATTAGCTGGGCAGAAAAAAACATGATTTTTTAAAAATTCAGATAGAAACCAGAGGCTGCCTATATTAAATTAACCAAATAACTGTGAATGTCATCAGAATGATTGCCTAAGGGCAACTTATTATATCAATTAAAATAATAATTTCAAAGTATCCATCATATTAAAGAGAATAAATTTTCCCTCTAATACTTGTGCCAATTGGAAATATCTTTTTCACAAATCTTTTGGTGTGATCTGCCTTGTTTGTCCTTGCTGTCTGTCTGAAGCACATGGTCAATTACCCAATTATCCACAGGAGAGAAATATATGGTAGATCCTACTTAGGGAACACACCCTTCTATCCTTAATTCTCAAAATTCTTTGCTTCATTTAGAAGCACATTTGATTTCATGTTGTCTATGATACTTTCAGAGCATGGGTGGGCCATGCAGGCAAATTAGACTAAAAGTTCAATAATCAACTATCCTGGCAATACAGTCATACATTAAATGTTCTACACAGATAAAAAGAAAGGAAACTCTATACATCCAATTCTCCAAAGGACCTGGCTACTTGTTGATGACAGTAATGTGTCAGCAAACTGCCGGGTCCTTTGGGGAATAATATAAAGAGAGTTTGATTGCTGCCATTCTTCAAAATAAGTCTCACTGAGCTTGAATATAGAGTGGCCAAAAGTATCGGTACCCCTCTATTTTTTTTCCAAAGAATCCCAATTTGCTGTGACCTAAGTTGCCATTTTCATTTGTTTTATTACAAGAATATGTTAAATCAAAATGAAGTGTCTGTTCTATGGGCAATGGAATAAAGAATGATGGATGCCATACTTCATGGCAAATTGGGTTTCTTTGGGAAAAAGCGGAAGGGTACCAATACTTCTGGCTGTGTCTCTATAGGAAGTCATTATTACCTAACAAGCCCAACAATGGTTTGTTCTCTTGAACACCTGACACGACAATTTAATAGAAACCAAAAAGCATTTATGAAAATCTGACCTAAACAACCTGACAACAATTCCCCATCATCCTTCTTTTCTAATTACATTAATGAATCTGTATTAGCAAACAGTTCAAAGGACTTAAAGTTCTACTGATGGTTTAAAAATAGCCATCCTGGTTTATCACATCAAATGTCAAATGAGAGACAAGTGTTTCCTTGCAAAATCACAGCTGTCTTGAAGTCATTCAGTAACACCCAAAGCAAACTTCATAAGCACTAGAGGATGAATGGAAAATAAGTTAATAGGGTCAAAGCCAAGGTAGAAAGTATAGTAGGTACCAAGCAGTCTCTGTCAATTGTAAGACCAGAACAAGAATTAAACCACATCCAAAATTCTAAAAGCCAGAAAACAGTCATGTAAATATCACAATATCAATTCTTGATGCTGTTGATTCTCTTGCCACCAACAATGTCAATAAGTACTTAATGTGGGTATATGCAGATCTAGATACAACTCCATAATATGACATTGAAATATATTATAGAAACCTCTGTTCAGTCATTAGTAAATTTCCTTCATTAGTAAAGAGGCATCCTAGCAAACACATTGAAAGATGTTTGCTATGCTCTACTTCCCAGAAACTGGAATCAACGTGAGCTACAATGTATATACCATTGTTGGCATCACTGTGCGAAAGTGGATGGATAGAAATGAGATGCAAAGGTTGGGAGTAAGATTTCAGGTTGTTGTTGCTGTTGTTGTTGTTATTATATGATAATAATAAGAAATAACTGTTCAGGCAATAGCCTAAATGATGCAAATTATGGGAGACAAATTACTACTTATTTCTTCTATCAGTATTTTCTATTTGCACAGAACTTTCGATCTGATGGAATAGGAAGCAAGAAAAGGCTAATGATGGGTCAAGTCAAGAAAGAGCCATGTACAAAAATTGTGATCATATCACTGCACAACACATTAATCAACAGAAGTTAATGGAATGCTATAAAATGTCATTAAAAGCCTAGCCACTGTTTTCCCATTAAAGCTCTGAAACTTCTAGTGCAGATTTCCCTGCCTCTTTCTAAAGTTATTCTACTTTTTGAGCTTTC